TGGAAATTTCTGCCTCGTCGCGGAATATTTCCCTATCCAGCTCATACATTTATGTAAGCTCACGTATCTCCATCTGGAATGGACGCAGGATATTTGCTGTGATCCTTTTTCCTTTTTTTTTTTCTTTTTTTTTCTAGCGATGATTTCGGTCTGATAATGAAATGGAAATTGCAAGCTTGCGAAAGAGAGAGAATCAAATTCTCGAAGTCTCGCTCAATCGTTCTGTCCGAGTTTCTTTTCTTTTTTTTTTTTTTTTTTGGTATTTATATTAAACCTGGATCTGTAAAAAATAAAAAGAGAACAATTTAGAATAATTTATCAGATCCTGAGTGCGAAAATTCGAGTATTGAGTTAAATTTTAAAATTACGATTGGGAAGAATCTATGTTTTTTCATCTATATGTAAATTTTCGATGAGAGTGTAATATTGATATTGTATTATATAATAAGAGTCATAAGCATATTGATCAATCTTGACTTTCTTTTTCGTTATAAATAATAAATTTCCAATCATAAAACGTTAATCATAAAACTCCCTCCACTCCATATAATTTTCATCATAAAGCACAAATTATGGATTTTAATTACACTTTTTTTTAATAAACTTATCAATAATACATTTACATTGATCGTTACCTAATTTCGTAATCTTCTATCTTAATCTAAAAAACAGAATAATCTCGCACAAATATCAATCTGTCGCATAATATATAGTTTCATAAAATTTAACCATGCATCCCATAATCATAAATATTTTTACAATCCCATATTATTCCTCGTAAATTCCATTTTCTTTACTTTCAACCATCGCCAATTTCCTTCCCTGTTCGTTTCACTTTTATTCGTCAAAATCGTGATCCTTATTTATCGACGACAATCTTGTAATCAGGTTTTCCCTCTTTATTTCGTGGAAATAATTCTACCTCCTCGATATAACGGGACATTCAATTGGATCGTTTTTTGCGCGAAAGATATCGATGGAATTGCGGAGGACTCGTTATGAAAACGCGTCGAAGAGGATCATTTGATTAACGACACTCTGGTGTTATATCCATCCTTCCTTTATTATCTCGATCGATGAAGATCTGAATCATGACTGCGAGACGTCGACTTTTAATGATACTTAAGATTAATTAACGGTACAATTGCGATGGATGTCACCGTTTGTGTTGTTCCCTCGTTAAGAGAATTATTAGATGCTGCTTGGAAAATGTTTGGAAACACTCTTCTACTAGGTGTTTTCATATCATTAATTTTTTTAAGAAGCTTCGAAGGTATATATGATTATCTTTAAGAGAAATTTTAAATTTCTTCTCTTGTTGTTCTTAACTTCTTTGAGGTGATTCATTTTTCCCTTTATGAGCGTTCTAACAGCACGAAATATAAATACAAACTTCTAAAAGTTGGGATTAATGATCCCAAAAAGTTGTAACTAATTAATCGCAAATCAAACAGCATTAAAAAAAAAAAAAAAATCAAAACCTCAATCCAATCAAAAGAACGTATATTTCTCACCAACTAACTATCCTCCAAAGTAACTTTCTCTGTACACCTTTCTCTCGCATCACGGAAGGAAGCAAAGGAAACCTCCTAAGGGTTGGAACGCAACAACGATATTTCACGTTTGGCCAACTCTCTCTCTCTCTCTCTTTCTCGGAGCTGTAGATGGAAGGACACGTTAAACGACGGCTTGTAAAGCCTCCAGCCGAGAGGATCTATCGATTCGTGGAGCGGAAAAAGGGTGGTCAGGGGTTGCAAGGGCGAAAAAAATTGTCGACGCCTGTCCCAGAAGAGGCGAACCTCGTGATAGGACACGAGCGGTGGATTGGAATGGGGTTCCTCGAGTGATTCATGGGGGTTGGATGCGGTCGTAAGGGTGGTGGAAGAGAGAGAGAGAGAGAGAGTCGAATGCAAAGCATGCACACGGGATGAAAAGTGTACCGATTCGACGTTCAAAAGCATTCGTCGTCGCATGCTTTCTCTCGATGGTTAAGCGGCGCGTGCACTCGGCCCAATGGGTTTCAACCCCCAAAGAGACTCGAGTGGGGCGGAAGAAAGTGTCGAGTGGGCGACTGCCACTTCTAATCGGCCGTGAGTTCCTCGATACATACAGACTCCTCTTTTGCCTCGCTTGTTACCTCTCCACCCTTGTATCGAATGTATTTCGTAAACGTTGTTCACCCTCGAGTGGCATTTTTGAACTTTGTCCGCTTCGAGTGTTCGTTTCGAGCCTGTCTCGTATAGGAAGGAATACGAATACGAGTTTCTGTTTGATTTCGTTTGACAATTCAGTTGGTCCTCGGGAGAGGGATCCTAGACCCTTCTTGTTTACGTTTCTCGTGTCCAGGATCCAGGAAATGTTAAATACTCGTGAACGTTTCTTTATACAAATACATGTAATAATAATATCTTGCTCTGGAAAATTTGTAATATTTTATTATTATTATTATTATTTTTGAATATCTTTCGATTTCAAGAGAAGATTTTTTTATTTAAAAAAACCTCGTGCACAGGTTATCAAGAATGCTTGCTAGTGATATTTTCGTTGTTTTGTCAGATAGAAATATCGATAAATTGATTCATTTTACATATATATATATATATAATTGTAGAAAAATTCATCGTTTTGATCGAAAAATTAATACTTTCAATGTTACGATATACAATTTTTTTATTTTTTTTTATTTCTCTTAAAATATAAAAGAGCAATATTATTGGACCGTTCGAAACAATCACGGCGTTCACTATTTAATAAAAACGTCTGCACAATCTCGATGGTCGCATTCATCTCGATTGTTCCTCTCTTTTTTCGCAAAACCACCGGGGAGGAATTCAGAGCCGAATGCTGAATATCAGCCTCTGTAGGCCAATTGTAAATCCCGGATGTTTTCGCGGAGAATGGAGCACTCGGTAGAATGGTAGCCTCTTTTGTATCGAGGAAAAGTATAATGGTGAATGCTCGTATAAAAGTCACCCCTATGAGAGCACTCGTTAGCCTTCTTCCCTACACTTATCGGTTGTACACTGTAGAAAAAGTGTTGCAAGCCGAGCATTCGTACCGGGGAAGGGTTAAATTAAACGCATAGTTTAAGGATCCCCGATCTCGATAATGCAGGGAATATAGCGTGCGACTAGAGAGAGAGAGAAAGAGAGAGAGTTGTTATTTTCAAACATTGAAAATAGTTGAATTTTGTTGTCATTTATTAAAGAAGAAAATTAAATGAAATAAAATAGAATGTAATAGTAAAGAATCTTTATCGTGGATTTTGTATTTATAAAAAAAGAATTAAAGAAATAAATTAAACTTTGATAACAAAGTTATTGCTTTATATGACAGTTTCTAAAACTTTATGCAAGATATTCTCGCGTGCTTGAGATAGTTAATGGAATGTTTTAATAATCGCAAATCGTTAAAATATACCACATGCTTCATGTACAGTTTCTGGACTTCAATTCATCTTACAAGAGAGAGAGAGATTCCGCTCGAAAGATGCCTAACCACGTGATGAATTATTCAGAAATGTTAGTGAATACGTTAATATCATAACGTTTGCTCACCATTTGGAATGCATTTTCGGATTAATTCGCACAGATCCTTCAGATTAGGGATCACAATCCTTGTGCTGGATACGATATGCTAGATAAATCATGCTTCGAAGGATCTTGACTATTTTCAAGGCTTGAATGCAAATCTCTGAATCGTTTCTATTTTCTTTCCTTTGTTATTATTAAAGATTAAATCCACGCTTTCTCCAAATTTTCTATTTTCTCTCTAAATCAACATCCAGAAAACTTTGTATTCATCCATCAATCGTATCAACCTAACCTGTTATCCAAAATTTGAGAATCGTTAAAATTAACCTGTATCGAAAGCAAAATCGAAAAATCCGCTAATAATTAAATAGAATTCAAATTTCAAAATGAATTCATCAAAAAACCTTTAATTAATTAATCAACCTTTTTCAAATTTAACATCGTCCGTAACAAAATTAATCAAATCCAGAATTAATTTTTTTACCCCAACAAACGAGAAGTTAAATTTTCATTAGTCAGTTCGCGCATTCCGCGCCTGATTCCGTGATTTCTCTACGCGAAAGGATCAACGTAAGCTTTCCCGGCCACGTCACGGTTGGCTTTGCCGTTGACACGGCCGACCCTTCCTCGCGCCCTCTTCCTCGTCGACGTCCTCGTTGTCGTCGATTCCCTTACTCTACTTCTGTCCCCGGAGTGCACTCACGCCTACTTAGTGGAACAAAGTTACCCGTCACGCGAAATCCCAATCTCCCTGTCCCAACGCGTCGCCAGAGAAACACTGATCCTCGCCATTCCGCATCTTGATTGATCGCACCGTTCACATCGAATCCACGTTCGTGTGCAACTTTGATAAACTTTCTTCAATTTCTCCTAGATCCACGCTTTGACAAACTCGTGTATGTATTATTTTTAAGGATTATTACACGTTTATATAGAAATACGTTTATATAGAAATACAGAGAGAATAATCTGAAATTAAACTTAAAAATGTTTGAATTTTGTTATTTTGTTTATCTTGTCATTTATTCAATTTCTCCTAGATCTATGCTTTGATAAACTCGTGTATGTATTACTTTTAAGGATTGTTACACGTTTATATAGAAATACAGAGAGAATAATCTGAAATCAAAATCGATATAAATTATTATAATTATTGATACGATTATGTTACAAATCGATTCGAAAGAAACTATTTCGAATGGATATTGATATATATATAATAGGCTGGCGAGTTTAATTCGAGGTGTAGGATAAAAATGCAGGGTAGCCAGGGGCATGAGTGGTTTCATTAATCAAGAACGATGGCTCGCGAACGATAAGAAATAGAACTCTCCATCGCGAGCCTCGCTGCTTCGTGAACTTCGTAGACTTATCGGAACAAGATAATGGTAGTTCGTGACACGGAGCTGTCCAGGAGGAAGGCAATTTCGCAGTTCCTTCCGTAGTACTTACCTGAGAGGTGTTTTACAGTTTGATTGACCGTATCGTTATTGTAATGGAACGATTGTTTCTTTTTCTAAAATCTCCTCCTCGTTTCCCTCCTTTTTCGCCATTTATTCAGAGAATCACACGACGAATGATCCAATATTTATTTTAAATAAATTCAACAAGTTTTCCAAGTTCGAATATTGCTCAATAGTAATATTGGAATTTTTTTTGGCAAAATTAAATTTTTTTCAAACCGCTTAGACATCTTTGAAAATCTTCTCGTAAATATAAAGCTGAAAGGGGATGAAATTTTGTTTAAATTAAAATAGATAGAATTCGATTTCGTTAAATATCTATGTCGAAAGTATCGTGTGGAGACTTTTTTTTCGTAATAAACAAATTATTTAAATGAGATTGTTTTTAAAAAGAGGTTTTATTTTAAATTAATTCCAAAATTATAGTATCTATTGCTTCAATTAGAAACAGAAGACAGAATTAATTTGGACTACACGGGAATTGGGAAACAGTTTACCTTCAAAGATAGAAATCCTATTGGAATACTCATAAAATTTCAAATCCACTTTGATCGATCCCCCTCCATTCGATTCTATTCTCGATCCTGCTCGAATATACCGTGATTTCGTGTCTCGAAATACTTACTTAAAAGAGAGACAGTTCAAACATAGTCTCTCAATCTCGAAATCTATTTATAATATTTCGTGTCTGTCGCTGCCTCGAACATTACCAAGTCACGCGAAACACCGTCTGCCTAAAATATAATTTATAGACAGTCAATAAAGTTCTTTTCACGCGACTAGAATTCAACGTTGCATTATCTTCACGTGCTTAGATCTCCTCGTCGAGAAATCTGGCGTGGAAAATGCACGTGTAATTGGCGCAGTAATGCAAACATAATGGCGTGGCGATACGTTGATATCTCATCAATCATCCACAATCCTCCATCCCTCTAATCATCCTCCTTCTTCTTCCACCAATATCGAACAAATTCTCGCCTCTATTTCTCGAACACTCCACTCCAGAAACTTGTAATCCAAAGAATACGCATCTATCGGCGGAAGAGGTTCTCCTTCTAAAAAAAAAAAAAAAAAAAAATAAAAAAATGAGAAAGAAGAAAAATAAGAATGGGGAAGAGATGAGAGAGTGTTCCCTTTGCCGATTCTCCCGCGCGATTCGTTTTCTACCAAATAGCCAGTCGTTTTGGGAGCTTTATCGAAAAATCCAGAAGAGAAACGGAAGGCTTTCTTTGCGATTCGAATCCTTTGGGACGTTCCAAGTTTCGGGGAAACATTCCTCGAAAGCGCCCCGACAAAATGGCGTTGACGAAGGAGGATCGTTCGTACGGCAATTCCTTCTTTTATGGAATACGTATGTTACGTTCTATTTTCAGTGGATGCAGTAACTGGAATTCTGCTTCGGAGAAAGCAGTTTCTCTTCTTCTCTTTGTTTTTATTCTCGTTACGCGGTCTTCGTAGTTTTCGTTCCCCGATTCGAGGGAACGAATATAGATACGATCTCGAAAATAAAGAATTCATTTAATAATTACGTTTAATTGTTTTCGTATATATTTCCTTCTCGTTACTCTCCAATTTATTGCAAATGAGTTTATTGTTCCTGTTATCGTCCGCGAGAAAAATTCGACCGATTGCGCATCGTGCTTTACAATAAGAGAAAATGATACTGGATCAGATTTTTAACTATCTCGTGACATTTTGTCAAAACCAACCAGATAAACGCCCGTCTCGTTCCCCCGTTGATAATCGAACGTTCGTTTTATGTAAAATTTTATGACGTACCGTGGTTGGATCTTCGATCATAAATTTTCAAATGCAATATCGAAACGGAAGGGATTGGATTTATTTTTGTTCGTAACGCGACTCATATGTTGGCCACGAAAATATGGAACGAGAAAGGGAATAAAAATGTTTCGCATAACTCTTTCTTGGTGCAAATAGAATTAAATATCATTCGAATCGATCGATTTTTCCGTCAATTTGATATTTGTTAATGTTGCACGCAGAAAATATTCAAGTATAAGAATAATTTATTAATTCGACAATAGAACGAAGATTTCTAATTTTCTTTGGAAAATTCTTTCCAAAATTTTCTTTCCAAAATTCTTTGGAAAATGAATGAAATTTCTTCTTTTTTTTTTTTTAGAAATCAATCTTTGTTGTAGCTGTATGTAGAATATCATTTGATCGTTCCACGTATATAATTAGAAACACGTAACAGCTATTAACCTACATTTATGTTGTATCGCGAAGAGTAAATCTACAAGCTCCATTTTTATTTCTTCTACATACCAAGATAATATCCACACACAGTCATTTTTCTAAAAAATTCAAAAACCATTTCATAATAGAACAACAAATCACAAAACAATGCTCGATGATCAAATAAAAAGAATACTTTAGGAATTGAATTATTCTCAAATTTCAACTACGATCGTAATGCTCTAATCAACTCGATCTGGACGTCTTTTGGACGCGACGTTTTCAAAAAAAAAAAAAAAAAAAAAAAGTTACCCCGTCGCAGGGATCAAAGAGGAGCAACCCAAAGAGGGGAAAAGGCATCCGCTGTGCAAATTTCGGATTTCTTGTTATCCCGACAATGTGCGACGGGGGTCTTGGTTTTCATTCACCAAATTAGAGATGCAGCTGCCGCGGATTCCATCAATAGAAGGCTCGCGTCAAGCCTCAGCTGGAGAGAGAGAGGGAGAGAAACAACTATTCGGTCCTTTTGATGTGACTGCTTTCACCCCACCGGTATCAACCGCACGAGAATCCACGTGGCACCGCCCCAAAACCCGGCTAAGGGTTGTCAATACGTGGCAAAACAGTGGTAACGCCTTCTCTCGCGTGACGACCATCTTTGTCGAGTTGGAGGAGGACCGCGTGCATGCCACCCTCGAGGGGAGACGAGAATTTAAATTCTCTAAAAAAGAGAGGCGGATGTATACGTATGAATGAAATTTAACACGACGAAAAGTATACTCTACTTGATTTAGGATGAAATTCAAGAAGGATTGGCATGTGAATTTAGCGAATAATATTAAAGTATACATTGCAAACACGTTTAATTCTATGAAAATATATATTATTTAATATATTGAATAATCCAACGAATTATTCAAGAATTCGATCCTTCTTATTTCTCCTTCCTTCATGCAATGCAAATATCACTATACAAATGGCGTTTCTGTCTTATTGAGCTCGCAATATAAACTTACGCGTGATTCCATTATGAGGTAATTGTCTGCCAGAAGTTTCCATCGAATCTATCTTCCACTCCGCGATATACAAGTTTATTGACAAGGGGCGCGCGCGAGGGAAGGGACAAGTCCGCCACCATTTAAAGATGGTGGCTCAACCCTCGCCCGATGATCGATCGCCTTAATAGAATAATCTAGAAACCGTTCAAGCTCCCAGCCCATCGAACAGGGCGCAAGCTTTTGTAAACAGTGGGCTTCCTTCGTCGATGACACACGACACGACCAAGAGCAACGTGGTGTCCACGTTGCTTTACCACGCAACCGTTATCCAACACCCTGTATCCAACCGTATGACCTAGCACAATACCAGCACGGTATACACACAACCTGGCCAATCTAAACTACTCCTCCTACGCAAACGGCTATGCTACATTGTGGTACGATCTTTGGCGATCCAGGCACGCTACGTTCCATTACCACGCGGTTTTTATACCCTCTGATAATAACCAACATGACGTGTTACGATGTACACGTGACTGGTCGAGAATGGATTGTGCAATGTTTAAGGATCGAATTAACTGTAATGTACTGAAATTACAGTTGATATTTTGTTGTAATAGGATCGATTCTATTTTTTTTTCGCGGGTTAAATTAGTATTATGTAATATGAGGTGTTAATTGTGAGCGATAGGGTGTTTTAATTTTCGTATTGATTTATTCAGAAATGCGATTGGCTTACGAGCATAAAGGGATAACGAAGAAGAGACGAGAAAATGATTCAATAGTGGAAATAGAATCGAAGAAAAGAATTTACGTATTAATGTTTTAAAATTCTTATTTGCTAGGGGAAACTAGAAATCCCAATTTTCCTTTAATTCTAATTCCTTCTGGATCCGTTTTAAACGAAACGGTGCAGCTTCGCGAATACAACTTTTCCTTAGCTGTTTCGCAGAAAGGAAACTTTCTTTTTCTTGAAACAACAGAGGCAGAGACCTATTTTCTTGACATGAGGAATAACCGCAGCTTTCTAAGTTCAGACGCATGTAGCGCGGCACGTCCAACATTTTGTTTTCCCGGCTTAAGGTAGGAGGATTTCTTTTCTGATTATCCAGGACACATACTATTTTATTTTGTTAGCGAACGAGATTTAAGGTAATAAATAAAGGGTAAGTGTCCCGAATACGGAATCGAGAATTTAAAAAGTCTTTGTCTTTCAACAATTCTTAAACTATTATGTTTGCCTAACGATCATTAAACATCTATTATCGGATAATACAAAATATATAAATTTATTATAAAACAAGATATAAAAAGATAAGACTCACTTAATAGATCCTTAATATTTCAAATCTTCATAATTGCCAAACTATCTTCGTGTCTTCCGCGTGCATCCTCTGTTATCCAGAAACATTGAAAGTTCAGCTTGGTTAATCGGTTCAATGGAAAGGACAAGCTCAAGTTTTAAACTGGCGAAGAAGCTCCTCTCCATCGGGGGGTGAAAATTAATCGACGCCACGGTGGTTTCGCGCAAGCTAATCGACCCGTGACCCGAATTTCATTAATGCGCCAAGATTTCCAGCAGAGTTGTCCTCCATGCCGGAAAACGTTCGTCGACCATGTTCGTTCCTACGTTCCTCGAGAACGTTGTCTAAGCAGTGGGCCAACTTTCGTGAAATTAACTTCGCTCAATTAAGTCCTCGAATCGAACTTCCTCGGCTCTCTCGCGAGGGGGACAGGGTGAAAAGAAGGAAAAGAAGGATAATGAATACCTTTCTCCTCCTCCTTCTTACGTTGACTTCTTTCCCTCTTTCGTTTTTCCTCCCCTTTGAACGCCTATTTTTCCCCGGGAACGCGCGCGTTTAATCCACTCGGCGATCGAATAAATTTTCTAAGTAATTGATCGTCTATCGCTTCTCTAGCTGGAAAATCGTTACCCTTGTAAATGGGTGGGTGGAAGAAGAACGAAGAAGGAAGAAAACGATGATTTATAATTGTTGTTGAAAAATCGAAAGACTGTCTTTGAAGAAACAAAGAAGAAGAAGAAGAAGAAGTCTCAAACCCTCTAATCCTAAACCCTCTACCTCGATCGATTCAATCTCAATAATTATTTCTAAAAAGTTAAAAGTCGCTTTCTAACCGCGTTGAGAGAGACAAAACTCCATTTTCTTCCTCCTCGAGTGAAATTGGCATCGTAACAAAACTGGCGTGATCAACGGGCGGACAAAGGTCAACATCGTTGCGGCCAGTTACGCGTTACCGACCAAACCATGGCTAATAGCGAAATCTCTGCGGAGTGATGGGGGCCAATTGGTGGAATTCGGGGTAGCAGAGAAGCAGACGCGTCAAGGGGGTGCACCGTGGCTTCTGCCTCTTTCCACAGCGCTCGTTGCAACCGCTGTGGTAAACCGCCGTGTGCACGCATGTGCGAGCCCATATCTGATCGGGTGCTTTGCGCGATCATCTCTCTCGTCGTTGAAACGCACGTCAGTGGCTGACCATGTAGCACACAGGCCAGGTTTTGCGGCGAGTTAGAGCACATGTATATGTATATATACATCTCCTCCATAACCATAGGGTTATAACTGTGAAATAATACGTGATTTATACGATAGTCATCGTGATTTATTGGCCCTGCTGCGCTCATTTGGCCAAAGCAAAGTCGTATCGTGAGCACGGTTTCATCAGATTTTTATAATATTTTTTTCATTATTCCTGATTTTGTTGAACGATCTTGCTCGATTTAGGGGGTTGCGTTGCAGTGTTTGTTAATTGAAGAGAGGAAGAGGAAATTGAATTGAAAAAGAAAGAAAAGTAATTAAACTTAACCCCATTCCTTATAATATTCAAGTATCATTCCG